AAGGCTTACATCATCATGAATAACCCACATCACCCTCTGCATGAATCTGTGAGTGTGCTGAGCAGCTCCTTTAGTCAGAGACTGAAACACCCTCGCTGCAGGAAGGAGAACTTTCGCAGATCGTTCATCCCGACAGCAGTTAGACTCTATAACTCCTCAATCACAATGTCATGAGTCACTGGACATTGTGGATATCCATGGTCACCACTCCATGCATAATGCGCCTATTATGTCTATGGACGTGTTGCCTGGGCAGGTATATGTATATGTATACATATGTATATTAGTGTGTACATGTACATGTTTATACTTATAGATACTTATAGATATCTATTACTTACATAATAATAGTAGTGGAAGAAGAGAGGGAGAAGAAAGGTTCCTTTTATTTCTTGCATTTCCACAAACTTCTGTCCATAATCTCATACTATGTATGCTATCGTTGTATATACTGTATTTTGTATTTGTTTGTATTTTATTTCTATTTCTTCTGATATCTGTACCTGAGCTGAGGTAATGCACAAATTTCCCTGCTGTGGGGTCAATAAAGTCTTATCTTATAAAAACACAGAACTTGTTTAAAGCACTTGGTTCCCAGTATTTAGATACCTAAAGTTTTAATGAATATGTCCATCATCAGGCAAATTTGACCAAATTAGGAAATACTTATGCAAAAATTCATGCTTTTGCATAATTACTCTTCCTTTAATTTTCTGGATATAGCTGTTTACATCATTTCCCCTGGGGATCAATAAAATACTCTGATTATTTGTTCCCTCAGCTGTGATCTCCTGTTTTACTTTGGTAGTCATTTATTGAGCTTTGTTTACTTTCTGTTTGTTTTACAGTTTTCATTTATACATTTTTAAGTAGTAATTGATTATAGGCTGCTAACAAGTGGAAACATGTTTAGTTTATAGTACAATTATTAAACAAAAGATAAAAGTCAGTTTGTCTGCCTAGTTGCGGCTGCTGGTTCACCTGGAAGATTCCAGAACATTCTGGAGGCTACGGGATCGCTACCCGAGGACAGCGGTAGGTCCTGCCTACAAGAAAATCACGAGCACGCCTTAGTGTGAGCGAATAGAAACTTAGGAACACTTCGTTCAGTCATTGTGGCATTTATGGATTCGATGAAAGGTTTGTTCTTGGTTTACTGACAGTTTTAATTTGACTTTAACATATGATGAAAACCTCTGTGTCACTTGTGGCGTTTTTACACCTTATGTCAACGTGACACCTGTTGTGTGACGTTTTTCTAGGTGATTCTTTTAAAAAGACAGTAGGCCTAAAGTGAATGGAAATAAACGAAAACGGATCATTTTATGTTTTAGGTTTGAACTAACTGGACTCGGTAGATTTAATTTAATCTTTAATCTTTTTTCTGTTCAGTTTTTAGAACAGCTGAGATGTCTGGTGCGACGTCTTCCGTTTGGCTCTGGTTGATTTTGGTGTTCGCCATCTTCATCAAGTCTTCCTCGGCTGGTGAGTTCAGCTGTTTCCTGATATATGAAATGACTGTGGACCCACTTGAGTGAAATATTTTAGGTTAGTTCGGTAAATGTCAGTGTACGTGTGTTAAAGTAGTTCTTATTTAATAAACAAAGTTGAGAACCACTTCCTTATTCCCTATTGTGTCGACGTCACCTCACTGTTATGTAATGCCTCGGCCTGAGCGTTTCAGTTTGAAGTGAGAGTTTGAAATATTTAATTTTATATTTATGAGCCAGTTTTACTTTAATTTAACACTGTCACCAAGCACTAAGCCTATGTTTGACTCTAATGATAAGCGAAAGCGCATCAAATCCGACTTTTTTGACCCTATGCGACCCATATCCGATCATGTCATGACAGTGTGAACGGCACAAATCCGATATTTTCAAATCCGATCTGGTTCACTTTCGTATGTGGTGCTGAATCCGATACATATCTGATGTTTCAGAAAGCGACTGCTGTTTGAATGGTCATGTCGCATTAAATCCGTCTTTTACGTCACTGACACAAGACAGACGCCAATTATCAGCGCCAGAGAAGACATCGCGAACGCTTCCTGGCCATGTAAGTGAAACTGTTGGGAAGACAACGTTGGAGAAACGTGAACATTTTATTTGTACTGTATAATCTGCAGATTCTGACAGAAATCTGCAACTATCCTTTGAAGCACCGCTCCTCTAAAACAGCAATAAGGATAATTATTAGGTTATTTACATTATTATGTAAATAACAAAATAACTTAAAGCAAAAATTGGGAAACGTAAAGTCCGAAGTCTTTATATTAAGGGCCATCAGTCAAACAATACTGTTTGCTCTGGGTCTAAACAGAGCGCGTTGTGTGTGACATCTTCTTTTGCGCATGCGGGCCGCTTTGAGCGTTCACACTAGAGCGCGTTTGCTGTCGCATTTTATTTGTAGTGTGAACAAGCAGACAAAAAAAATCGGATTTGATCAAAAAATCGGAATTGAGCATTAAGACCTGCAGTGTGAACGTAGCCTTATTATCTGTAGAACGCTTTTTCCTGCTCAAAATAAGCCATTAGTGTGTGACCACATAGCTAAAGTAAACACAGTGACTCAGTGCTGTCTGTGTCTTTCCTGTAATTTGTTTAATAAGCAAATATTTAATAAGAAAATAAGTAAAGTGTGTTTAGACTTCAGCAAGTTAAATCTCACTGACAAAAACATGTTTCAAAAAAACAAGAAAAGAAACCTCAAACTAGGCATCAGTCAGTAGTTTACTGCATATAAATATTATTTTTTGGATGGATATCAGCTCAACATGTTGAAATTTATTAAGTGACATTTGCTTGGGTCTTTATTTCCATTCATAAAAGGTTTTCATAGTTTTTGTTTTTAAAAATGGCACCAATAGACACTGATTACAGGAGGTTTTGGGGGCCTGCAGAGTGCTGGGCTTAATGTACATCACCTGAAACACTGACGTTTGTAGTGAAAATTTGTTATATACCTCAATTACACCTGAAATGTACTTGTATTATATATTTTATCATTATTATTATTTGGTTTAACATAAACTGGGGTGATTATGAGTGTGTCAAATGGACACTCTGGTCCCGTTCAGCTGAGCTCTGACTGTTGATCTTTACACTGTTTAGCTGCGGTAAAAATAAACATTTCCTTTGCTCCTTTTTTGTCTCCCTTTCAGAACAGATAAATATTACTGCTGTGTTTGGTGAAAGTGTCACTTTGCCATGTCGAGTTTTGGATGGTAACAAAACCATCGATGGCCTAGAGTGGAGCAAACCTGAGCTGGAGACAAAATATGTGTTGTACCGGGATGGACAGTTGCTTATTCAACCAGCATCCATCTTTTAAGAACCGGGTGGATCTGCAGGACAGACAGATGAAGGATGGAGACGTGTCTTTGATTATGAAGAATGTGACGACTGCTGATGCTGGAACATATACGAGTGTCGATGCTTCAGAAACAAAGCGCAGGAAGAGAGCTAATCTGGGCGGTGATCCCATCTGCATCATCACCCTGAGTGTTGTTGATCCTCCAGGTGAGTGAGTAGAGTTGAGTGTGTGTGTAATCAGAGGTGAAGCTGCTTCCTGGTTGCTGAGGAGTTGAGATGATGTTAAATATTAATATTATCACCTATTAGATGACACATAAAGAGTGAAGGGCAGAAAGTTTGATAAAATTAAAGCCCTGATATCTGAACTGAACTTCTCCCTACACTTTGTATGTCTGTGATGATCAGTGCTACAGTATTTTAACCTGTTAAACCCCTCTGCTCTGTTTTGTTTCCACTTTAAGTCAAGAAAAACATCACAGCTGGAGAGAATGTCATTCTGCCATGCCAAGCTCCGAACACTAACAGCAATCCTAACACAGTTGTAGTGTGGAGCAGAGCTGACCTGAAGCCAAAATATGTTCTTTTGTACCGCAACAAGCAGTTTGATCCAGATGACCAGCATCCATCTTTTAAGAACCGGGTGAATCTGCAGGACAGACAGATAAAGGATGGAGACGTGTCTCTGATTCTGAAGAATGTGACGACTGCTGATGCTGGGATATACGAGATGCGTATGAGTCCAAGAACAAAGCGCAGGAGGAGAGCTAATCTGGGCGGTGATCCCATCTGCATCATCACCCTGAGAGTTGATCCTCCAGGTGAGTGAGTAGAGTTGAGTGTGTGTGTGATCAGAGGTGAAGCTGCTTCCTGGTGGTTGTTGATGTTTGTTTGTAAAGATGTTGTTGATGAGACTTTGTAGAAAGCAGCTGGTCTGAGTGATGTGATCAGAGTGCAGTAGATAATGTCTGACAGCAGTTTGAAGAGGAAATGGATTCTGTTCTGTTCTTCACTCATCACCTACCTGACAGCTGACACCTCACACCTGTTTCTCACCTGCAGGTCAGACAAGAAAATCTGTTGGAGTGATGCTCAGTGTGTCACTTCTTGTTGCTGTGCTGCTTGCTGTTGCGATCATATTAATCTACAGAAGATGCAAAAAACAGGATCCAAACAAACCAGAGGACCAGAGTTTGTTGTCCTGATTCACTGTTTTTTGTTTTCAGTAATTTCTTCCCAAGCTGGGAATTTTATTTTACATGTCTTTTTCTGACACATGCCACACTCATTAAGCTAGGCCATGTGTGATTAGCTGAGTTGTGTTTGGCATGTTGGATTCGAGGCATGTCCCCCTCCTTGAATTGCCACCTTATCGTGGTGGAGGGGTTTGTGAGCTCAGACGATCCTGGGAGCTGAGTTGTCTGGAGCGTTCAGCTCTTGGTAGGGTCTCCCATGACAAACAGGTCCCAGGTGATGAGCCAGACTAAGAGCAATTCAGTAACATTTAACCATGATCAAATTAGACTTTCTGTAACGTTGTTTTTGTACATTTTGGTTGTATAGACAGGTTAAAATACAGCCATTTGTCTCAGTCTGTTACCTTTTGTCTTTAATGTGATTGTATTATGTCTGAGTAAGGGTCTGTGTCCACAGGAAGCTGTTTTTCATTTTAATAGCTCCTCTCTCAAACACTTATTGATGCCAGCTGCCTGTTAGCATAAGCTTATACTCCTTCACAGTTGACAGAGTCTGGGTAAAAATGGCTGATTTTGTTTTTTTTCATAGTTTGTCCAAAAACTAGAACAAAAACAGGTTCCTGTTGATAAAAACCTTTAATCTGCAACTCCACATGTTTGTAGTCCAGCAGTTTTCAAACATTGAGTCTCTGCTTGTGCAAAAACAAACAAGTATCTGCTGATGCTGTGACCTGGGAATAAAATGTAATCTCCATCATTATTTTTTTTAAAGATTAATTGACAATGATTCAGTTCCTGAAATGAGACACAGGAGAAAATATTTGAGAACTGCTGATTTAGTGGATTGAGAAGCACAAAACGTAGAAGTTATTATACTGTATATGTTTACAACATGGAAATTAACTGTGTACAAAGCCTGACATGTTTGCGAATGTATTAACGCTAACTTGTGGTGTTTTGTATTGAAGTGATTCTGTTTGAGTTCAGATATCTGACATTAAAGTACTGTCATGGTTTGTTTGCTTTTGTCTTTTTTTGTTTGTGTATTTTTTCAACCACTTGGAAGCAGAAAAGCAGCTGAAAATTAAAGACTAGACTCAACTTCACTGAAGCACAAGGAGCTTGCTTCTACAAACAGATGCTGTAAACACTGGCACTGTGTCTATGATGTGGTTTACAGCTCCATTACAAAGTGACATTGTAACCTGTACAGGTTTATAAAGACACAGAGGAATACTGTAATGTGTTACATGTTTTAAATGTGAACTTGCTCCAGCTTCATTCAAGATTACGCTGAGATAAACAGACATAGATTCAATCTTTCCACACACAGTTTGGTCCACAGAGATGTTAGTCATGTCTTCTGATCAGATCTCTTCTTTCTCTGTGGTTTTACTTCCTGCTGGCTCTGAATGTGTGCTTAAACAATTTAGAAAGGTTCACTTATTGTTAGTGATGCAGCATTTTAAAGGCTGTTACTCAGAGGTCATAAGTAAATCTGCCAAACTGTCATGTCTGTATAAACCAATCAGATCTCATTCTGCGCTCAGATCTGTGTTTGTAGCTCAGGCTGACATTTGAGTGAGGAAACATTCACCTGTGTTTCTAACATGTATTCAAGGCTCCATTAATATATTTTAGAGCAGCAGGAACTGAACTTGGTGCAGAAATGTCTGAATGACGTGTTGAGACGTCAAATAAAAACATCCCTCAGTGCTGTCGCACCCAGTGAGCCAGAGGCTCCTTAACGTGGATCCCAACACAAGGTAGACAGGTTTTCAAAAATGATGATGTTCTTTAACTGATGTCATCTAACATTGTGTAACACTTATTTTTCTTTTTTAATAATAGAACCTCTTTTAACCTTGAATGTTCCCAAACACATTTAAGAATGTTGTGGGAACGTTTCTTGTTAGTTGGGACACTTTACAGCTGCTGACGTCCAAGAAGATTAATAACGTTCGTGAAGATAACTGTGCTTTTATGGAGGCTGTTAAGTCAAATATTTAGTACATGACATAAATCCACACTGGTGCATCTACAGGCTGAACGACAGCTGAATTCCACATCTGCACATTTCTTCTGTGTAAGAGCAGCTCTGTGTCAGACGGTCTCCAAACCCTCAGAAGAAACACTTTAGTATTTGTCTGCGTCAAAATGTAGATTACAGATCTTAATTAATGCTGTTACAGGTACAGTAAAAACAATATGAGAACAATCACAGTCATTATTTACTGAAGCGAAAAATTTATATTAACATGTCCCACCCTCTGAATATAAATCTAACAGCCTCTTCAGAGGAAAATCACGCTCAGGGACAAACTGGAGAACAATACAGGTCGGGACGCTGACTCCATCCCAAACCATCAGGAATTGTAATGTGTTTGTGGTTTTCACTATATTATGTTTTCTTTATGTGACTGAAATAATTAATTTTCCTGATAATACTTGCTGATGAGGACAGATGTTCAAATTTTAGTAGATAATAATTTAATTTGTTATTGTTGTTTCCACTGAGAACAAATTCAGTTATAAGTCCTTTGTCCAAGCATATGGAAAACTTTCTTTCTTTCCTTTTTACATTATTGGATAGTAGAGAAGAGCCATTCTATGAATGCTGTTAAGTATTTGTATAAGTATATCACACCTGTGAGGAGTGTTTCAATATTTATATCTTTTATTAGATATACATGTGGTTTTGTTATTTGCCTTTTGGTTGGACGTACACTGAGAGAGGACTTTTTTTTATTAGTGATCTTAATAATATATTTTTTTCATATTAATGTAATTTTTAATTTAATTTAATGTTATTTCATTTTTAAATAAATCTACTGGACACTGTAATGATGTTAACAACATATAATTAGTGCATAAACATACATACCTAAAAGCTTTGACTTTGGCATCCTAAGTTCCAATAGTGACTATAATAAAATGTGATGTATTGCTGCTCTATGATATATTTTTAAACTATTTGTTTGTTTGTCAAAGCTGCTGGAAAGATATGTTAAGTCTTTGTATTTACATTTAAAATTCATTATATGTGAAAATGTACTTTTCTTTGTTTCCGTTCTAAGGATGATCCTACTAACTGTAGTAGTGAAGACAGCTGTAAAGAAAATCCTATTTCAGTAAGGCAGCTGCACTCATCTGCTTCTCAGAGTTACACCATTACAACAGCTTCCTTCCTTAAAAAAATGTGCTCCCATATTTCCCCCCCTCTTGCCCCATACAGTAAAAGGTCTTGAATTATGAGGCCCCATCATATCCCTGAATCTGAGGTTTCATCATGTGCTCAGACTGGTGCACCATCAAAAACTCAAAAACTTTATTGAACAACAAGAAAATGCAGTGAAGTAAATTACAATACCCTCAAACTGTGCATAAGCTACATCCACACTCAGTGTGTGATTGGTGAGTTTAAGTCACCCAGTCTGTAGATGGCAGCATTAGTTCTATCTTCTCCACCTTTCCTTACAACCATTCCTTTAGGTGACTTACATAACAGCAGCAGCCACACCCTAACACGCACATTAACCCTGCAGTATGCATCAACAGATGCTCAAACAACAAGTGGCATAAACTTATGATATAACTGTGTAGGTTAAATGCTTAAAAATTTGCACTCACATTTACATCTGTGGGCAATTTAGAATCACCAATAAACCTAAACCCACCAACTGCATCCGGGAGAAAACGTGAAATGGACACACATGCAGAACTTGCAATGCAGATAGGAGAAGAATCTATTTACAATAAAAAAGTAGTCAGAAGTCAGCAAATAATGCACGATTACATTTTAGGGACCTTACTTGCCAGAAACAATTAAGCTAGGCTGCTAATATGTGTTTATATTTAATGTTTTGATAATGTCTGTTTAAAGATTTGCCATTGACTATTTTCATGTTGGCTTGAAATAAAATATCTCCCTCTGCTGGTACTGCGGCTTACTGCAACGTCTGCATGCACACAGCCATAGCCTCAATACTGACATCATTACTCTAGTCCAGGGGTGCCCAATCCCGGTCCTCCAGAGCTACTATCCTGCAGCTTTTAGATGCATCCCTACTCCAACACAGCTGAATCAAATGGTTTGATCTCTTCAGCATGCCATCATGTTTGGCAAAGGCCTGATAACAAGCCATTCATTTGATTCAGGTGTGTGGGAACAAGGATGCATCTAAAAGCTGCAGGACGGTAGCTCTCGAGGACCGGGATTGGGCACCCCTGATCTAGTCCAATCATCTTCTTTTTAACCTTTTTTTGAGCCAATCAGCTGCCACTCTGCACGGTTTAAATCTCAGTGCTCTTCTGTCATTTTCCTTTTTAGACTCTAATTCACTTAATCCACCTCCTCCACATCTCCACTTAATCATTACAAAAACACGGAGTAAAAGCAACCAATTGATTCACAGCTCGAAACATCAGAACACATTTAATTTTTTAAGTTAAGGTAGAGAGGTTCAGATGTGGTGCTCTTTGTTGATGCTAGTGATGTTGTAATTACAGTCATCATCCAGTCCCTGCTCAGCCTGGTGGGGTGGGCCAAGAGAAGACAGAGTTTAAACAAAGAGAGGAATTTATCATCAGCATATTGATTGATCAGTGAATGATTCACAGAGTTACCTTTGGCTCTGTGTTGATATAAAGACACCAAGAGGAGAGTGGATATCAAATATGGACAGATCACCAGCAGGTGGAGGACTAGTCTGAAATTAGGATGGCAGAGGGAGCAGCCAGGGTTTGGAGCTGTTGTGGTAGACAGTGATGTGGATGTGAGAAAAGTTGTTGTGGTGGGTGAAGCTGTCGGTGTAGGTTTATCTGAAGAGAAAATCGTAGTTGTTAGTGTGAATATGTGCATTAAATTGGAGGTGAAATCAGAGTGAAGCTCCTCACCTGTGACAGTGATCCAGCTGGATGGAGACTCTCCATGACCGCTGATGTCACACTTGTAGAGGCCTTCATCAGACCTGGAAACATGCTGGATGGTCATGTGACCTGTAGGCTGCTTCCTGATGAGGGAGCCATCTTTATAGAAAGCAGCTGGGAGGTTGGAGGGAGTGGTCTTTGTTTTACAGAGCAGAGTGACGTCATCTCCCTCCATCACAGGGAGGACAGGACTCTGCAGGATCACTGATCCACCTCAACACAGAGACAAACTACAGCATTTCATCCATTTACACACAGCTTCATCAACACTAACTCCACACACTCAGCTTACCAGTGACTGTCAGGTTAACCATGTTACTGATGGGACCCTCTCTGGACTCACACCAGTAAACTCCACTGTCCCATGGGTAGATGTAGTTTATGTCACAGGAAGAACCAGCTGATTTCCCCCAGTCAGCTCCACACTGAGTCCTCTGTTGTTTGCTTGTGTTTCTCCTCAGAGTCCATCCAGCAGAGCTGTCGTCCTCCTCACAGCTCAGAGACACAAAGCCTCCGTTAAAGAACTGAGAGCTGCTGGGACTCACAGTCAGACGAGCTGTGAGGAAAGGGGGAGAATATATAATATTTGCATGTGATTGGCTTGGTTGAATCAATACACGAGAACCCGAACCTGTGGCCCATGATGGCGAAGCTGAAACACATTACAGAGCAGAGCCAAGTTCACAAATTTATTGACTCTGAAATTCCAAATATCTGTTCATCTCAGTAAATGAATGAGCGTCTAAACTTTCCTAAACTTTCCTCCCTTCCTTTAGGGAGATTTGAAATTTGGGCAAAAAGAAGGCAATGTGGTCCAGACAAGGCGGGAAAAGTCATGTTTCTCAGGAAAATTGAATATTGAAACAAACTGAATAACGGGAATGTTTATGAAAAATTGGCAAACGGTGACAAACGTCCAGCGGGAAATGTAACTTGTATCATTTGAGTTTATTTTTTTTTAATTTTAATTTTGTTTTTTTTTTTTTTTTTTTTTATTCCTCTGTTTAATTACTATTGTTCGGTTCAGGTACAGAGTTCAACGCTCGCTTGAATGGACTATTATCAATACAAATAACAAAAGATTAAGTACACCGTCATGTACATCCTATTCATATGACTGAACATTATCTGGTGTAGGTGTGAAGCAGCCCTCTGAATGCCGCTGTAAATTATTCCAGGGTACACAAGCATGTCTGTTTTCATAACCTTGAGGCAGACTAGGGTGCTCTGCAACATCCAGATTGTCTCTTAAACTAGGAACTCATGAAGGTATAAATAACTCTCCCAGTCATAGGTTAATACGAGTCTTGCTACCTTAACATGAACCTCATGTCTGTGTCGAGAAACTCTACTGTCCCGTCGTTCCCTACAACCTGCATGCATCTGACAATTGTCCCTAGATGATCGCTTGACAGCGCCCAACCAAGATCTATCAACAGTATTGCTCAGATTGTCGCTACTAACCGCATGAAAGCGCCCCCTTAAAGACCTAAGTAATAGTTTAGCCATAAGCCGTCATTTTAGACATCGCGCCGTCATTCTGCCAAGCACCTGTTATTGAGTTACCTCTGTAGGCTGGGATTTTGTCACCTCGGTATCGTGATAAAACCCCGTAACATTTCGAAGCAGTCAATAAATTTGTGACCATTGGCTAATCCACGTTTCAGCTTCGTGTTCTGGTAATTAATGTGTTTCAAGACGCATAAATAAACAAACAGCACTATCGGTTGGCTCCTCAGGCTGAAGCATGGCGAGCGAGATAAGAAGCGGATGTGGCATACGTGGTGTTTGGCTCCTCTCATCTCAGCTCCAGCGCCTTCTAGTCCAATTCAAGAACTCATGGGGCAACCATCTGGTTCTGGGATTCTTGGCAGGTGAGACAGTTGGCCATCAACGCTTGCAGGTACTTCCTGCAATGAGAGTTGCTAGAGATACACTTCTCAACAAAATCTGGACTCAGCCTGAAGCCAACTCCGACAGCTCTCCATCACAAAGATCTAAAATCAACTCATAAGCTGGATGTGGATAGTTGAAATATTCTCTCGGTGGAGTGAAGCGGACCTCTGACATGATGCTTCCCAGCTCGCACCTTAAGAACACAAAACAGTACTCGTGGCATGAATGACTGTGGTTTCTCCCAACAGCAGCTGCTCACAGTTCCATACACGAGAGGAGTAGCTACATAGTTAAGTCGGTATTTGAAATTAAGTTGATACTATACATTGAGAATAATGGATGACTAGTGGCAAGGACAGGGAGTGCGATAGACAACCTGCATCTGGCTGGTTGTCATACTACGATTAGTTTCTCTTGTCAGCCAGGAGTTAAACATAATCAAGCCAAAACAGAGGACTGCAACGAAACCTGTCGACAAGAGCATGTAGCTAGGGTGGCAGGTATTAACAGTGTAAGTCAGGCTGAGGAGTAGAGTCTTGCGCTGTGTGTTAACTTGACCTTTAGGTTTGTGGTAGCAACGTACTCAGCAAGTGTCAGTCTAGACACGAAATCTAAAGAGCAATTGGTACGAGGCCGATGCTAGGTTAGTCTTCAGAGTTGTACCTATCTCAACAGAGGCAACGACTACTCAGAGAGTAAGCAATGAGAAATATACCACATGACAGATCTGCAGAGTCGTATACCACATGAGAGTGGCTAGAGGTTCGGACGATTAGTGTTGATTGAAGCTGTGAGCTGATGACAGAGACGTAATTCCTCCTAGGTCCCCGTATGGGGCTGAACTATTTAGTCCCAGCTGCAAACTGTGGGGGGATACGAGTCACATTCCTGGTCTAAACGATATGCTCTGTGTTGAGAGGTGCGTCTTGAGATCCAGTTCATCTGGTTCACGATGATCCTCGTAGGTAAAAGAACGCTCTCTCTTGCCTTCTTTCCTCGTCTCTGGGTCTAGACTCTTGTAGAAAAAACCTTGTGTAGGATAGAAAGCCTTGTGTACTTTTCCATTCCATTCCTCTTGCTTCCTGGAACTAACCTGAAAGTTTTAACACTACGTTATCAACTGAGACTAATTGAATACTAAGAATTGAAAAAGCACAGCCAATTACCTCCTACAACCTCCAGACCTGCTTTCTATAGACAGGTTGTACCGGCTTGAACGCTCTAACACAGGCCAATGAGTACCTCAGTGTAGACTCGCTCTTCATGGCAGAGGATCCATTGAACCCTATCCCAATACCTTCTTTTTTAATGGATGTTTCCAGTCCAGCTCCTATGGAAATTAATTAACATTCAGGGTTCTGGAATGAGGCCTCTACAAGTGTGACATCGGCGAGGTCATGCAGTTAAAGTAAATTATGATTTAATAATCAAGGCCAAGAAGTCGTCATTGAGCCAGCTGGACAACATTATCACATATGACGGTTGTGCTACTTTACCACTGGTGTGAGGTGATGATTGCACTCTGATTTCTAACCTCCATTTTGTATTGCACCGTACTAAACTAGTGGCTAGACACCATTTATGTTGTTTGTCTTTCTCTCTGTCTCCACAAACCACTGACTTATCGTGTCGCGAGAACCTAAATAATCTTTGAATGGGCTAAGATTCCGAACGCACAAACCATGTATTCAGACTTTCTTCACACGTATCTGCCACCTGGGTATATAGTTATACTCTACAGATAGTCTGAGGAGAAAGCTCGGACTCCTATGTGGCAAATAGTATTCCCTTAAATTACAGGGGTGAAGCGCTGAGTTCATAAGTACCGTGCAGTAAGTCGACAACACAACCAGATCACGAGCAACTCTTGTGTTTCTCACTCAGAATCCTGTCAAGTTCAAGTTAATACAATTAATTAACACCACTCTTTACCTCACTTCACATCCATGATCTACACTACATCACTGGCGAGTTCTACCACATTAAATATAGCAGTCTTTAATAGTTATCTCAAATTAAACCAAAAGCACAGCTAGAGGCCATGAAGGCAATTAGCACCCCACACAAAAGTGCTTTTCTTGCTCTTAGAACCAGAGGCGAGACACCGATGACAGCAAACATGCAGGAAGATACGTTTATCTCGCATCCAATTCATGCTTGCTAGCACTACATCAGACCAACACTGCACTAAGTACCCTAGCTTCAGAGCTCCACATGTCTAATAAAGGCCTCATGGTGATCCTTCTGTCTCCTTTCATTTTCTCCATATTTCATACTTTCCTCTTTCTTGTGATATGAGCTGTCCTCAGGTCGTGGCTTCTTCTCCACTTGGCAACATCCATGTAGGAAAAGTTTCAGTTTGTAATTTGATTCTAAAAAACACAACAGAGCAGAAAATCATAAAAGTGTTAATGTCCTTGAGAGAACTGAGAAAAATCAGATAAGACGAAAAAACGACTGTGATTGGCGCAAAATCTACCAATTGACAGTAGTTTGGTGACAAACGCTCATTACCACCTCGCATTTCCCGAGATTAAATCTGAATAGAATTAATAGTTTATAGGTTGCATATGAGCTACACGTTATTTGCATTTATATACTGGCGTGATCTGTCTACTTTAGGCCTGCCCATCTGGATCTCCACGTACGGGCAAGGTTCAAGGCCTGCTCATCGCGACAAAGCGGATCTCTGTGTTTTACAGGATCCGTAGTCGTGAGCGAATGCATCGTAGGACCTAGACCACCTGACATGTGAAAATCACTAACCGCCGAAGACATCCAACCACACCCGACACCACATCCCTGTCATACATCTCTACTCGGCTGACTCTTAAAATCGTAGCTCCACCTGACCAAATGCTCTGTTCTGTATATCGTTTCTCATGCTGCTCATAGAACTACCAATGATACTTAATCTGTTGCAATATGCCCTCTATATAACATTAAACCTCTGATGTCCCTGATATCCAGCATGTCTTATTGTAAATTAGAGTATTAAGATGAAGTATTGTGTTGAGAGGGAATGAAACGAGCTGGGAGAAATTGTGAGTCTGAGAGTAGAAAATATCAATACTGGCCAGCACACTACATAGACAGATGACTAAGCTGTAAGCCACAAACAATCACTGCACCACCAACGCTCCAGAGCGAGTCTCGAGACTCACTCCGAGTCATCTCAAATACAGCTATGCAGGGATAGAGACGGTAATAGTTGACAGTGTCGCCTTATGAAGCCGCTGACACAAAATATCGGTTGTATAAATCACGTTAGATTAGAATGATTGATTGAGAGATGTATAAATACGGTTAATTACATTATGAAAAAAGGGAACTTTCAATTCGTTTTAAGGTCGTATCATACTTCCGCAAGCGCAAGTGACATACTAAAAAAAAAAGATCAAAAAGACAGAAATTACAGGATAAGAAGAGCTGGTGGGGATCAGGAGGCAATAATGATATGAGCCTGTTGACCTGCTACTAAAAATAGCTGTGATGTCAGTAAGTACACTCCCGTTCCAATTGTAGAAGGGTTGCTCTGCGTTCTCGGGAAGTCGGGACTCCTGTGTCAACTTACGAAGTCTGGAATAGTGAAAAGGTGAGTACGGACTCTTGTACATGAGTATTGAGAAACAGCCTAACAGTCTGCAGTCTATGAACTAACCTCAGCAAACCCAGCTAACAATGTTAGCTCGGTGACGAGCATTCATCATTAATAGTAATAAAAATCACACAACAATAATACATCGAAGATACTGAAGTTTCGCCGATCCCATTCTTCTTATGAAGTGGTGTCAGAAATGGATTGCTGCCTGTGCACTGCTGGCTCTGGGTCCATTGTGTAACTGATGCCACCAACATTAACAGGACACTTACATTACAGCCTTTATTGCTTGTTTTGTTTGGATTTACAGTAATCAGAGAAACTGTATTAATCCCAGACTGAAATTGAGTTTAAAAATAATTTCTTTTTAAAAAAAAAGAAAGAGTCCTGGGTTGTACTTGAACACGGGCTGGCCGCTCTCAGCCCTGCGATATATGACTACATACATGCTCAGCCAACTGAGCTAAACCTGTGCCTGCATTAAACTGCATTTAATCGCCAAAATTGGAGAAGGGAGAACTGACTCCCTCTTCCTGCGCCACCACACCCACCCACACATGCAGGGCCTTGGGGTGCAGGTGTGTCACCAGGGTGCAGGGGAGGCGTCCTCCCTCTGTCCCCTTCTGGCCACTTGTGCCTCAATTTTATTCCACAACTTAGACATCCACATTACTCACTCTCTCATAACACATACATATAGGGCCTTTTGGGTGGGCACATTACACGGCGATATAATAAAGTCGCAAACATTATTTGCTGAACAGTTCTGATAATAACATAACTGGTACTGGATTCAATCAATGGTAGAGAATGCCTGTGGATCATCTGATCCTCATAACCAGTGCTCTTTCACTTCCTGCAAAGTTCATGCCCCATCGTCCAATTCTGTTCTGAAATGTCAACGCCATATTCTGACGATAACACGAGTGGGCCAAAATCTCTCCGAGCAGTCAGTCTCGATAGTTTGTTTAGTCTTTGATGGGAAAATTTAAATAGTGTTTTTGATAAAGTGAGAGAGCATTCAAGTGTAAGCACAATATTTGCAATATATCTAAGTGAAACACACTAGAGGAAGATGGGGAAAAGAACTGGAGAAGGTAAGCTGTGAGCATGATACTACATATTCTTGATAAGTAAGGACCTAAATGGTCTAGGACTAATACACATTATGACACTCTTATCATTAAGTCATCGACTTTTCAGCATGCTTGCAGCAAGGACTTACTGCGAATTCCCCATAATAGAGATTTATAGTTCACATGGTGTTGTTGAAGCGAATCTAGTAATGCAGTCTACTAGTGTGGCTATTAGCCATGTCAGTCGACCAATACACTGAGAACATGTCGCTAGTTAGGGTCGTGGCTATGGCTGCACAATCCTGGATTGATAAAGCTGACAAGGTTTCCTCACTCATGTCTTACTTACAAGTAATAAAGCATAAAGAAATGTAAATGGTTAGAATAAAGGCATCGTATAACAAGGATGAAGAGCAAGAACTATTTAGACCACGTAATAAGCTCTAACTGTGGGCTTCTACAGTGAAACGCAGCCTTGAATTGATCTGAGTGTGCACACTACACACAAACTGCAATTCCACACCCAATTCATTAAAGTAAATGAACTGCAGTTGTGAGAGACAGGGTGTCCATGTTGTCTTCTATTGCATTGTTAATATGCAGGAGCCTTGGCAGTACAGAAGGTAGTAGTGAGTGGAAATTCAGATGTTGAGTCGGTCTGTCTGTAATTTTCTACATTCAAAATATTTTTTTTCTACGTTTGCAAATGCATGAATACTTGTCTGTTTCCATAATATGAGGTTGTTTTGCAGCATTTTTGAGATGACTGACTTTCCACGCATGACAAACCAAGTGCTGCAGGCACATCGATTGATTCGATTACAGACGATTAGATATCGAGGAGGGGATGGGCCTCATACTTCAACCCACCGCACCTATAAACTCCACCCCTCTGATTCGTGAGAGTTGCAAACAGAGAGTTGGCAGGGGATCAACTTACATGAAGACCGCAACAATTCTGTAAGTATAAGGACCCGAGAGCTGTCATACATCATTTGATGATAATCTGAGAGCATGGTAGCAGACCTACAAATAGGTCTTTATTGTACTTGCAAGTCAGTGCACAGGCAGTAGCTAAGAAATCGAGATATTTCTATACAACGTCTTACTTCCACATGAACTTATCACGTTATCGTAGGTGGCATCGATACACATTCCTAAAACTGTTGTAATGGTGTAACTCTGAGAAGCAGATGAGTGCAGCTGCCTTACTGAAATAGGGTTTTCTTTACAGCTGTCTTCACTACTACAGTTAGTAGGATCATCCTTAGAACGGAAACAAAGAAAAGTACATTTTCACATATAATGAATTTTAAATGTAAATACAAAGACTTAACATATCTTTCCAGCAGCTTTGACAAACAAACAAATAGTTTAAAAATATATCATAGAGCAGCAATACATCACATTTTATTATAGTCACTATTGGAACTTAGGATGCCAAAGTCAAAGCTTTTAGGTATGTATGTTTATGCACTAATTATATGTTGTTAACATCATTACAGTGTCCAGTAGATTTATTTAAAAATGAAATAACATTAAATTAAATTAAAAATTACATTAATATGAAAAAAATATATTATTAAGATCACTAATAAAAAAAAGTCCTCTCTCAGTGTACGTCCAACCAAAAGGCAAATAACAAAACCACATGTATATCTAATAAAAGATATAAATATTGAAACACTCCTCACAGGTGTGATATACTTATACAAATACTTAACAGCATTCATAGAATGGCTCTTCTCTACTATCCAATAATGTAAAAAGGAAAGAAAGAAAGTTTTCCATATGCTTGGACAAAGGACTTATAACTGAATTTGTTCTCAGTGGAAACAACAATAACAAATTAAATTATTATCTACTAAAATTTGAACATCTGTCCTCATCAGCAAGTATTATCAGGAAAATTAATTATTTCAGTCACATAAAGAAAACATAATATAGTGAAAACCACAAACACATTACAATTCCTGATGGTTTGGGATGGAGTCAGCGTCCCGACCTGTATTGTTCTCCAGTTTGTCCCTGAGCGTGATTTTCCTCTGAAGAGGCTGTTAGATTTATATTCAGAGGGTGGGACATGTTAATATAAATTTTTCGCTTCAGTAAATAATGACTGTGATTGTTCTCATATTGTTTTTACTGTACCTGTAACAGCATTAATTAAGATCTGTAATCTACATTTTGACGCAGACAAATACTAAAGTGTTTCTTCTGAGGGTTTGGAGACCGTCTGACACAGAGCTGCTCTTACACAGAAGAAATGTGCAGATGTGGAATTCAGCTGTCGTTCAGCCTGTAGATGCACCAGTGTGGATTTATGTCATGTACTAAATATTTGACTTAACAGCCTCCATAAAAGCACAGTTATCTTCACGAACGTTATTAATCTTCTTGGACGTCAGCAGCTGTAAAGTGTCCCAACTAACAAGAAACGTTCCCACAACATTCTTAAATGTGTTTGGGAACATTCAAGGTTAAAAGAGGTTCTATTATTAAAAAAGAAAAATAAGTGTTACACAATGTTAGATGACATCAGTTAAAGAACATCATCATTTTTGAAAACCTGTCTACCTTGTGTTGGGATCCACGTTAAGGAGCCTCTGGCTCACTGGGTGCGACAGCACTGAGGGATGTTTTTATTTGACGTCTCAACACGTCATTCAGACATTTCTGCACCAAGTTCAGTTCCTGCTGCTCTAAAATATATTAATGGAGCCTTGAATACATGTTAGAAACACAGGTGAATGTTTCCTCACTCAAATGTCAGCCTGAGCTACAAACACAGATCTGAGCGCAGAATGAGATCTGATTGGTTTATACAGACATGACAGTTTGGCAGATTTACTTATGACCTCTGAGTAACAGCCTTTAAAATGCTGCATCACTAACAATAAGTGAACCTTTCTAAATTGTTTAAGCACACATTCAGAGCCAGCAGGAAGTAAAACCACAGAGAAAGAAGAGATCTGATCAGAAGACATGACTAACATCTCTGTGGACCAAACTGTGTGTGGAAAGATTGAATCTATGTCTGTTTATCTCAGCGTAATCTTGAATGAAGCTGGAGCAAGTTCACATTTAAAACATGTAACACATTACAGTATTCCTCTGTGTCTTTATAAACCTGTACAGGTTACAATGTCACTTTGTAATGGAGCTGTAAACCACATCATAGACACAGTGCCAGTGTTTACAGCATCTGTTTGTAGAAGGAAGCTCCTTGTGCTTCAGTGAAGTTGAGTCTAATCTTTAATTTTCAGCGGCTTTTCTGCTTCCAAGTGGTTCAACAAATACACATATACACAATACAACAATACACAAATACACAAACAAAAAAAGACAAAAACAAACAAACCATGACAGTACTTTAATGTCAGATATCTGAACTCAAACAGAATCACTTCAATACAAAACACCACAAGTTAGCGTTAATACATTCGCAAACATGTCAGGCTTTGTACACAGTTAATTTCCACGTTGTAAACATATACAGTATAATAACTTCTAAGTTTTGTGCTTCTCAATCCACTAAATCAGCAGTTCTCAAATATTTTCTCCTGTGTCTCATTTCAGGAACTGAATCATTGTCAATTAATCTTAAAAAAAAAAAAATGATGGAGATTACATTTTATTCCCAGGTCACAGCATCAGCAGATACTTGTTTGTTTTTGCACAAGCAGAGACTCAATGTTTGAAAACTGCTGGACTACAAACATGTGGAGTTGCAGATTAAAGGTTTTTATCAACAGGAAGCTGTTTTTGTTCTAGTTTTTGGACAAACTATGAAAAAAAACAATCAGCCATTTTTATCCTGGTTTCCAGACTCTGTCAACTGTGAAGGAGTATAAGCTTGTGCTAACAGGCAGCTGGCATCAATAAGTGTTTGAGAGAGGAGCTATTAAAATGAAAAACAGCTTCCCGTGGACACAGACCCTTACTCAGACATAATACAATCACATTAAAGATAAAAGGTAACAGACTGATACAAATGGCTGTATTTTAACCTGTCTATACAACCAAAATGTACAAAAACAACGTTACAGAAAGCCTAATTTGATCATGGTTAAATGTTACTGAATTGCTCTTAGTCTGGCTCATCACCTGGGACCTGTTTGTCATGGGAGACCCTACCAAGAGCTGAACGCTCCAGACAACTCAGCTCCCAGGATCGTCTGAGCTCACAAACCCCTCCACCACGATAAGGTGGCAATTCAAGGAGGGGGACATGCCTCGAATCCAACATGCCAAACACAACTCAGCTAATCACACGTGGGCTAGCTTAATGAGTGTGGCATGTGTCAGAAAAAGACATGTAAAATAAAATTCCCAGCTTGGGAAGAAATTACTGAAAACAAAAAACAGTGAATCAGGGCAACAAACTCTGGTCCTCTGGTTTGTTTGGATCCTGTTTTTTGCATCTTCTGTAGATTAATATGCCAGTGATGGCAACAACAACAAGCAGCACAGCGGTGGCCATTAGCAGAACAATCTTGAGTCCAATACGCTGACCTGCAGGTGAGAAACAGGTGTGAGGTGTCAGCTGTCAGGTAGACATTATCTACTGCACTCTGATCACATCACTCAGACCAGCTGCTTTCTACAAAGTCTCATCAACAACATCTTTAGAAACAAACATCAACAACCAGGAAGCAGCTTCACCTCTGATCACACACACACTCAACTCTGCTCACTCACCTGGAGGATCAACAGTCAGTCTGATGGTGTTGCTGAGCCTCATTTCTTTTCCGACTAACACCTCACACTCGTATGTTCCAGCATCGGCAGTCGTAACATTCTTTAGAATCAAAGACACGTCTCCATTCTTCATCTGTCTGTCCTGCAGATCCACCCGGTTCTGAAAAGATTGATGCTGGTTTCCTGGAACAAACACATCATCCCTGTACAAAAGGACATATTCTTCCCCCAGGTCAGTTCTGCTCCACTTTACATGGATGGCTTTGTTGTTTGGAGCTCGGCACGGGAAAGTGACGTCCTGTCCAGAATGAGCTGTGATGTTTTTCTGGCCTGAAAGAGGAAATAACACAGAGCAGAGAGGTTAATGTAAAACTACACTAAGGATCAGAAACCAGTTAGGTCTGTTGAGCTGAAAAAGGGAGAAAATATTATATGAGACTCTGCGTGTGCTGTTCAACCAGGACAAAAAGTGGTTTTAAATAAATTATTTAAAAATAAAATTTGTAAATAAATTCAGTTCTGTGGTTTCTAACGTGAACCTTTTTCCTACACATTTCAGTGTTTTTGCCAGTACATAAAACCCCAGAGCCCTGCAGGGCCCATGTGTTTCACACGAAAAATATACAGAGGGCAATAAAGAACCTGACAGAAGTCAACCCTTCAAACAATTTGGCATGTTCAGCTGACATCCATCCACTCTGGAAGAAGATGAGCTCAGTTATTTATGTGTGGAGGAGGCTAGCTGTGTGAACTTCGAGCTCTGCTGATGGTTTATTAATTTACCAACATTTCCCTGGTAAATGCTGGTAAATTTAAGGAGCTTTAACTCCTCAGTCAGAGAAGTTAAAGCTCCTCTGACTGAGCTTTAACTATTAAACTGGGCTGATGTGCTCCAGCTTCTCCCAGAAAGACTGAATCTATTGTTTGTTGATCAAATCTAAAACAATTCCCAGATGCAGACTTCTTGAAAGAGGATGCCGAGTAGAGTAGGTACCACCTACAACTACTACTATTTTTACAAATACAAAAGCTATGAAGACCTTTTAAGAATGGGAACGAAACCCCAAGCAAACTTCACTTGATACAGTTAAACATGTTTATCTGACATCCAGCCACAAAACTATTTTTATATGCAGATCAACCCTGTGTTGCATGGTTTCGCTTTAGAAAACCCAAGACACATTTAGCCTTTTTTTTTTTACTGTATGTGTGCAGTCGCCTATTATGGGCTCATTTTGAGCAGGAAACCCCAGACAGGGAGCTGACAGGTTATTTTAGCAAGAGGGATCTGTTTATTTAGTATTATATTATACTGATATAATTTGCATGAAGCCTCTGCTCAATGTCTCGATCTTTTGGACTCTGTTTATCATGGGGCATTAGAATTTATAACTGGTTGTAAACTGGTTGAAATAAAGACCAAAGCAAATGTCACTTAATACATTTCAACATGTTGAGCTAATATCCATCCATAAAATAATATGTATATGCTGTAAACCACCGATTGTTGCCTAGTTTGAGCTTTCTTTTTTTTTTTTAAACACGTTTTTGTCAACATACATACATACATACATACATACATACATACATACATACATACATACATACATACATACCAGCTGCCTTGCTGAAATAGGGTTTTCTTTACAGCTGTCTTCACTACTACAGTTAGTACGATCATTCTTTGAACAGAAATAAAGAAAAGCACATTTTCACATATAATGAATTTTAAATGTAAATACAAAGACTTAATATATCCTTCCAGCAACTTTGACAAAGAAACAAATAGTTTAAAAATCTATCATAGAGCAGCATTATTCTATTGTAATCACTATTGGAGCTTACAAAGTCAAAGTTTAGATATGTATGTTTATGCACTAATTGAAATAACGTACCAAAAATTGGTTTTGATGGTTTCATGTATGAGATTTGCATCCAGTTCTTGTTTGGACAAAGTATACCATATTTCATGGACAGGACTTGTCTTTGTTCTCTCCCTTTGGCTTCACACACACACAGATCATTTGTTCCAATGATCTATAACTCTACATACTTAAGGTGGTGGTTTGTCTTCAGTCTGGGTTGTTGAACTACAACAGTTAATGAAGCCTGGCTCACCTGCTGATGTTGCCCTGCTTGTTCTTGAGAAAGCTATGTTGTTGTTGTTTCCCCCCCTGCAAAACAAAGGCGTGCTGAGAGAGACTTCTTGCAAAAGCTTCTCTTTACCTGTTACCTTGTAATTAAAACTATTGTTCCACTTGTCTGGAAGCAGCTGCAGAGTAAAGCAGACAGGTTTGCAACTAACACGTAAACAAATATTTCAAGTAGAATGAAAAGCTGCTGTGTCACATGACTTCTGTTCAAACAAAAGGTGGAATGTATGCATGTTATCTATGAATTCGGCTTTCTAATGGCTCCTTTAGATACAGTCATGTCTGAACTCGAGCTGAATTTTTCCACAATGATATAGACACACAATATGTTTGGTGTTTTGAATAAAAGTGATAAACTTTTTTGTGGGCTGATTAAAAGCTGCTGTGTGGACAAAATTCTACATGACAAGAATCTAACCCATATGGAAAAGAAATAGTAAAAACCTATATGATTTACTCATGAAAGTGGCCACTTTCTCATTACTTTCATACATTGTTTTAGTAAGTATCCAAAACATACAAGTTTCATTATATAATTTTTGTAGGGATCTTATATCTGTTTTCACTCTTGTATGCTTTTCATAGAAGTTTCACACAAGACAGATACAAACTTTATACGATTTTTATATTTATATATATATATAAATATCTTTTCCATATGGGAATTCAAAGGAAACATGTGTATAAGCTCTATGTTTTTTTTAGATTCTCATTTACATTTATTGTAGCACTGTTGCCTTGTAGCAAGAAGGTCTTGAGTTCAATTCCACCATCAGGCCCAGGTCTTTCTATGAGGAGTTTGCATGGTCTCCCCGGGTACTCTAGTTTCCTCCCACAGTCCAAAGACATGCAGTTGGTGGGGATAGGTTAATTGGAAACAATAAATTGCCAATAGGTGTGAATGCGAGAGTGAATGTGAGTGCGATTGGCTGTCTCCTGTCTATGTGTTAGCCATGTGACAGACTGGCGATCTGTCCAGGGTGTACCCCGCCTCTCGCCCTAAGGCAGCTGGGATAGGCTCCAGTGCCCCCCACGACCCTGAAAAGGATAAGCGGAAGAGGATGGATTTTTGTAACACAGTGAAAGAATAAGGATCTCTAATGCCTGGATTATTGGTCTTGACTGTATTACAAACTGCTTAGAAAATGCTTTGAGCTACTTGATTTACACATGTGTCCATATCCTTTCAGTCTGATCCACAAACAGTCAGTCAGTACAGATGTGTTTATTTATTTGTTAAGCTATGTTATAACATTACTTTTATAATTAAACGGAATATTAGAAAATGTAAAAACAATTAAATAATGTAGTGGAGGACACACACACACGTTTGTGGTATCTTTCTCTTACCACAGTGTAATTCTGGAACTACTGTAACAAACCTGAAACTGCTTAGCATATTGTTTTGTTTTGGCAAAAACATGCCCAACAAGAGACAAGGAGGGGAGGTTACCACCATGATATAGCAGATGAATTGGCAGTAAGTAGAGGACTGAGCTGGCGTAAGTATCACCTCAGTGATTGCCTTCAATGGATTGCAGCTGGGGAAAACAAACGAGGGCCTTTGGCTCCACCCACAGGGGCGGGCACAGGAAAGCGCAGGTGCTAGGCGGAAAAACACCAGACACTTACCCAGGTCATGACAAAAGCTGAATTTAACACCATTGCTGGAGCGAGTTCAAATGTACAACATGTTTTAACAAATCACAGCATTCTTCTGTGTTTACATATAGACTCAAACTGGTTACATTTTCATTTGTAATGGAGCTGTAAACCATACTTGCCAACCTTGAGACCTCGGAATTAGGGAGACATTCAAAAGGGCTGTTCGTTATATGGGTCGTTATATACATATACACACAAAAAAACCTTGAATTTGACAGTGTTTATTTATCAGACAAAATAATTTAAATTATATAGCTGTCCAGTACCTGTGCAACAGATGGTATTCATGGTTCAATATTTGGAGGCAGCATTTCCCTTCGAGATGTCCTGGAGGAAATTAAATTCTTTTCCCCAATCATTTCAGAACTTGCACACATATTTCCTTCTCTTATTGGTCATTGCAATTTCTCTTCTGCTTCCTCTTCCTTTGTTCTGATTCCCGCGCTTGACTTCGAGGTCTTACCGTTATTATTGTCCAGCCGGAAACAGGAGCCCAGTTAATGATATTTTTGTTCCCAAATTTGGACATCCAGCCACTAAAATTACTTTTTCTGTTCGTGAATGCAAGTTAACAACTGTAATTTGGCATCAAGGATTAGTTTGCTTTGTTGTAAAAATAAAATGATTTTAGGGCATCTGTGACATAAACCTTTCACAGGGTGTTAGCCTGCTAAATTTGTGTGTATAAGAAAGGTCGCCATTAACACTCAGCCACGCAGGCGGGCGGTGTGGACACCCAACATTGTGAACACGATAACTTGAGAATGTGGTGATGTAGGATTTTCAAACTGATAGCATAGGTGCATCACCTGAAAGTCTCCTAAAAATGTCAGATACGTTTGAATGACAGTGACCTCGAGGTCAGAGGTCATGTTTTCTGAAAATTTTGGGGGGTTTTTGTGACGCTGTGTGAGTCTGATTATGCTTATCTGTTGTCTGTCTGACCAAATCTACCACTCTGAACCTGAATTAATCCCCCAAACACATATTCACTCTATATAGGCTATTTATGCATTTGATCACTCAATTATTAATTACTATCCTTACCCGTATGAGATAGGTGGAGTGAGACAAGATGAAAATATAAAACAAATGTTTTGTGTCTCTGTCTTAGGAAGCAGCCTCGCTATGACACATGTTACAGCTGATGAATAGAAAGTATCTAGTTCTAACTTTGGGGCTGATGGAAATAATATAATTGTTATTTATATTAAAAAAAAATTTCAGTTCATCCAGTGCAACATATTGCCCTCAATCACCTAATTAGTCAAAAGTCCTGTTCTAAAAATATTCTGATTAAAATATGACACTGAATGTGTGGAAGGTGATCCAGCTGAAAATCTTTTCCTGTAATGTTTAACAACTGGATTCAATGGGGATACTGTGGCAGTACATATTTAAAATCTAATGAAATACAAGATTCAGTTCAGTTCAGTTCAGTTCATTTTTATTTCAAACATTTCAAACACGTGCCTTCACAATCATTACAAACTTTTATTCCATTATTTGTTTGAAAATGAGTAGGCAGAAGTATTTACTTATTTGTCCCTACCCCCTCAAGTTTTACCTCTCATTCATTTAATTGTTTTTTTTTTCTTAAATTAAACAAACAACATATGCAACAAAAATAAAGCAAAACAAAACATACATAAATCAAAAACAAGAAATTAGCAAGCCCCACCACAGTATAGTTTCTTTCATATGAAAAATACAGAATGTGTATACATATATAATATGTAGATTTAGTCGAAAAAAAAGAAACTAGTTATTGTTTGTGACTATGAAGAGTTAGATGCTTTTTTAAAATGTGTGCAAGGTGTGCAAGTCGACTTTGAGCAGACTTGCACACCTGCACAACACCAAAGCTGTTTTACTTTGAAGCAAACAACTGTGCTGAAACGTGAAGCATAAAAATGTATAAAATTGATTTGGGTAATTTGTGTCATTCAAAGACGAAAGTTGATTATTTCTTTGTAATATTTTGTTACTTCCCTCTGCAGCCCCTAATCTCTTCAGTGGGTTCAGCTGTTGCTAATTGACCTAATCAGGTGTGGATAAAAGGTGACCTGAGGCAGGCTTTCAGGGAAGCTCACTAGTCTTTGCCTTGGAGGGAGCCATTTTAGCCAACCTGCTATGCCATTTTAAGATAAAACCTCTTCTCACTAACATTCTGGTATTCATCTCCTTTTTTATGTGGCGGCTTTTGAGCCGGGTCGTAATATATTTGTCAAGCAAGTCTATAAAAAACTATTTGTTTTTAATCAATTTGAATATTAAAAAGTTAGTTTCAGTAGAAGCAACCAAAACACTACAGACATAAAGCAGATACATAACACTTTGCCAGAGGTCTGTAAATTAGATTTTCATGCATGTCTGTATTACTGTTTTTAAATTCTATATTTGCACTCTCTCCATAAAAACACAAGGTATGCTATCCAATGAGTCATAGATCTACTAATTGGAGCCTTTGTCTTAAAACAATGCCAAGGATAATGCAATAACCTTAATTCAGCTCTGCTCTGAAAAATGGAGGTAAACTATTTCAGACAGCAAAGATGTTATCAATAACAATCTGAGTTTGTCAGACAGCTATACAAAAAGAAAATATGAAACCCACATGGACTCTGCTTGTTCTTTGTCACGAAGCAGAAAGAATAAACTTTAATAAAGAACTTGAAAAGAAGCCATATGAATACTGGGACCAAGATAGATTTGTTTTGC